GCGAGTCCAGTACGTCGGAAAGCGAACTTTACGAGTCAATTTCAAGTAAACCTAGATCCTCAACTCCTGTTTCAACTTCCATGGCGTGTTCATCAGACTTCATGGATACCACGGTAATATCAGCAAGTCCCAACAACCTAGAGGACTAAAGATTATGCAATGGAATGTAGAAGGGCTGCACACAAAATTGTAATGCAAAACAGCAACCAAAGGCAAAAACATCCCGATACTACAGCAGAGCTGACTTCGAGCCGGACTAGAACTGAAATTCTCTGGCTTTTTCCTTCCATGGGTCAACGGGTAATCCAGGGGATGTGCAATTGATGCGAAATGTGACCTAATATCCAAACCCATAACCACCCCACCCGATTGTGGAGCAGGAACGGAGGTAATTTGGAGTATCTATCGAGCCAAGACAAACTTTAAAAAATCTTAAATGTTTACACGGCTCCACGTGCTGAAATAGATCTCTTATTTAGACACTACTATATCCCACCCTTGGATGTGGGTGGGTTCCAAGAATGAACCCACCCACATCCAAGGAGGTAGATTAGACCCAACCTTCGTTTCAGCCTCCCTGAGAAATGCAGCAACATGGTCAGTTGAGCCCACTCACAAGCGACCACTATGGGGTCCAGATTGATCGTAAGTTAAATCTACCGACCCCACCTCCATCTGAAGCCTTTAACTTTGCTTTAGCAAAATGGGACCGATTTCAAAACCATTTCAGAGTGGCATAGAAAATAATATGTTCCCAAAGACATTAAGTCGGGCAGAACAAGATTTTGCTGATGCAATTCAAAGTGCACACAAACGCTATCCCACTGAAAAAACTATTCAGACACCAAAGATTACTGGTACTATTGCAAACGTGTTAGAACTCGGACTCAACAGCACAATGGAGCTATATAAAAAAAAAACAGCCAAGTGACCACAACAGGACTTTGTGAGGTCAAGGAACATGTGCAGCAAGAGACCAGGCTAATAAACACGAAAGTGGCTAGAATGGTGTTCACATCTGAATGACCACCTTAGAGGTGGCAGCAAATCCACTGGGCCAAAGGAAATAAAACACCTAAAAGCCCCACACCTTAAGGATCCGCATCAGAAGCGGAAGTACTGGCAACCAGGAGGCAGAAAGCAGCCAGTACTCAACTTGCAGATGTACTGGCAGTGCAGACCGGAAGAAAGGTGGCACAGAATCTTTACAGCATTTGCAGAAGTTTGACACTAATAACCATTACACACTAGACGAGCACAATTGAACTAATAAAAACTCCAAGAATACATCCCCGAGATACTACAAAATAACCTATAAAATGATTAGGAACCTCTGCCCAGAGGGAGACGCTGCACACTTTACGTTAATTAATCGAGCCTGGACTTCTAAAACTAAAGCTAGAGCTTTTAATAGAGCAAACGGTACCGATCCCAAAACCCAAAGATTCAGCAAAACCCAGGCCCATTTCTCCAAAGCTGAGCAGCAAAGACAGCCAACAGAATGACACTCGACAGACTTTAGTGGAAAATACCTAAACTGCACCATGGTATGTATGACTATAGACGAGAGGTTGGCTCAGTGGACTGTATTACAACTGTTAGCTCACTTTAACGACAGACCAGGAGGGCCGATATTCCTGGACCACGAGAAAGCCTTTGAATTGGCTATTCTCTGCTGCCTTATTTATAAAGAGGTCAAAGTTAACCTGCTCTCCTGGACTAAAAGCTGTCTCAGAAGCAAGACACTTCATGGCACAGTTTCTCAAAAAAAAAAAAAAAAAAAAAAAAAAAGACATGAAAATGATACACCGCAAGGCGGCATTTTTAGCCCCCCCCCCCCCCCCAACCTTCCTCTTCAATTGTTTAATGGAAAGAATAGAGGTTAAAACTCCCACAACACTGCAGGCTGCCAAACTACGCAGACTGCTGTCATCATCAGAAAAGGAAGGGACGAGGCGTGCCTTGCACCCAAATGCTTAGACTGCATCACTGAAGAGGCAAAGCAGATTGGTATCAAACTCAACCCCACAAAGACAAAAGCCATGTCCATAATAAAAGCGAAGCCCAACGTGTAGCTCATAGTACAGGGTCAAGCAATTGAATGGGTGATCACTTAGTATATAGGAATAATCATGGACATAAGAATTTTAATGCCGAGGTCACTTTAGAGAACAGCGGCTCAGACAGCAATCTTCAGGTCACAAACCTCCCTCTCTGGAGGAGCCAATCTGCAAGTCCTTCGCACATACGATGTACAGGCAGTCAGACCAGTAATCCACTATGCCGTACCTTCACTCAAGTATCACACCAATAATTGAAAAAGCTTGAAATTGCTCCAAACAATGTTACGAGAACTGCCCTGGGAGCCCGTATGTGGACTAAACTTTAAACTACACTGGAAACGGGTTTGCCCTCTCTTCAAGAACGAATATCAAAGAACAGCTACGTTTATCAGCAAGATAATTATTTCCCCTGATCCAGTCCCAGTACGGCAGGCCTTTGTGGTTGGACTTTGCCAAAACGGAAACTCTTGGCCTGCCAGAATGGGAAATTTCCTAAACATAATTAAAAAGCACGATTTTTGATAGCGTGATCAATCACACCCAAGTTACACTTGTTCCCCGCCATGGGAGGAGCCTACCTTCAAAATAGTAATAAAAGGTCTTCCGATTAAAAAGGAAACCTACAATCCCACAATCCTAAAGCGCATCATAGAGAAGCAAATGTGCAGCATTCCAGTAGCAGGACCCACCCACAACTTCACAGACGGATCGGTTTACACAATATGAGTGTGCTGGCGCTGCTCTTTGCACGGACAGTAAACAGGCATATTGGAAATCATAAGGACCAGCATCAACCCAATCCGAGCCGTTTGACGAACAGGCATTCGCACATGCGATTGTGTAATGGCATTTCGAGTTTCGTGCAGACTCAAAAGCTGCACTTCAAATATTAGGAAAAAAGCAGTGGAAAGACTACGTGGAAATAATTACCAACATTTTGTATCTGAGCAGTCACTAAAGGCAAAAGACTCAACATCACCCTAAACTGGATCCCGTCCCATGTGGGAATCCCCTTAAATGAGAAAGCTGATGAAATTGCTAAATTGGCAACACGTCATCCATTGATATAATCCAACCCAGCCTACAGTACATGAAAGACTATCACCAAAAAGCTCATCTCAACAAAAGCTTATCTACACCAGAGTAGTAGAATGTTCGCCCTCTGTAATATGTTATCTTCAGAACAACAAGTTAAAAAAATTAAATATCCAAAAGGAATCCACAGGTAAATAGCAGTTCGGTTATGTAGATTACGTCTAGGTTACAGATGCAACTGGGAGATTGGTGAACCCCGACAGAGTGCACCGTCTGCCAAACAATCACAAGTGTCACTTTTTCGCCGCCATCTGGAATGTGAAGCAACCAACGACCTTAGAGGAGCTTTAAGAGTACTCGAATCTTTCCGTAACCACACTGATGCCATCAACACTGCCACTCTTATGGTAAAAAAAAGGCATCCAGCAGCTGGACACCCTCAAATACTGTCAACCCCGCGATAGCAGCCCGACGATTAAATTTTACCACTTACGAGCTATTCATGCCCGTGCCACCTTTTTGGTGGCTTAATCTTCATCAATCAATCGGTAGAATTGCGAATGTACTCCCAACACCTGTTGTACCTGATGACCTTTCTGCTGCCACAACTGCTACCATACCCTCCGCCCTGGTCGCAAGTCTCACTGCCTTCACTTCCACTCTACAGACTACCACCAGATCGACCACGAAAACTATAACAGACTAGAACCACCCAAGGCCCGGGTGGCACAAACAGTATTTCCTTCTCCAGTTCCCAACACTCCTACCATCACTATCTCGGCAGTAATGCCAGCAGACGTGCCGTTTACAAATTCTAACAGCACCACCAATGCTCCTGAAATAGCTTCTACCACTAATCCACGACACCCGAGCCTACCTCAGGCTGCGGGATTAAAGACACCAACTACGTATGTTACAGACTCTTCAGACTAGGAAATTTTAGGAGGAGTCTTTCGCCACACCACAAATATCACACCTACTTGATACAAGATGACCTCGAAGAGGTCACCTCACCAAACTTCAACGACAGCACTGATCAGCCAAAGTCTCAGGCAAACAGAAAACTGAAAACCTGGAGGGCTATACTAACCCACCAGCTCCATAATTGGTACCGCTAGCCCTTCGGGGCTGAAATTCACAATGAAAACCCAAATACATCCCCCAGATCTTTAGTATCAGTTACTGATCCAGATAATGGATCTGGAAGAGCTTATACTTAGGGTCTCCATAGCCCATTCTACTTTGAACTTTTCCTTTAAGTAGCCGACTCTTGACAATAACAAAATACTGTTACTTATCCGATCGACACTGATGAGCACGAACCGCCCAGTGAAAAGTAGAGTGACTAGATAGCCAGAAAACACTGCCCATTATAAAAGTCTCACTTTCCAACCTCCTTCCAATCCTAGAACAAAAGGGGAAAGTATCCTAAAGTGTACAGGTTACGGCAGTGAGCGAGACAAGCTGGGTGTGTGCAAGCCTGCACGTCTTGTACCCACCGTTTTATCGAGCAATAAAACCCACTGGCTCTCGGCCGAGCAGGGTTATTGGAAAAACCAAACTAGTCAATAGGTAAACCCCAAGTGGCGGCAGCTCAAGGAGGGAGAGGAAAGGGTCTATACATGTCCACTACACATGGCTCCCACGTTTAAAATTTGATCCAATTATTAAAGAAAACAGTCTTGTCAATATTTAGATTGAGACTTAAAAAAAATTCAAATGAAGGAATAGAAACGGCAGGATTAGAGAACATTTTACCAATATTTATCTTCAGTAGCTGTATTTTAACTAATACTCTAATCGTTTGATTACAAACCGTACGACTCTTGCTTCATGAAGCAGCGATTGCAAATCCAACCATTTTATTCCCATAAAACCATTAGAACAGTAACCAACTCGGACCTTTGTGGTTTGAAGAAGGCTAGGCGGAAGGAGGGTGCTGGGCAGGTGGGTCTTCATCACTCTCGGAGCAGGTAGAGCCTCGCTAATCTGCAGAAACACTCCGTCTTCTACCTTCTTGCCTGGACACATTTGACGAAACATTTCTGTGAACTGCTGAGGATTCTCAACAGTGCTTCTGATGGTCTTGCTGTCAAGCATCATGTCAAAACTGGAAATGTTTTGTTGTTGTTGTTGTTGTTGTTATTATTACTACACCTACCCAGAGCTGAAATACTTAAATTTAATCGCTTTAGAATAAATACATTTGAGTTTATTCTTAAATCACCAATTATGCAATAAGTTCTAGCAATACATTTCTTTATATAAACCCATCCAGAAGCACAAATACAGGATCCTTCATATATTGCAACCGATATATGAATGGTTCTTTGCTAATCTCGCATGTTGCACCCGACAGTTAACACAAGACTTCACATATTCAAGCACACATTAACATCACGTGCACAAACGTGTGGTAATCATGAGGTAATAAAGAAATTTAAGCCAAACACTTATTGTCACAAAACTATCACCATCTTAAAACAATATTATGCTTCACGTTACAAATTTTATATGACCTATACCCAGGGCCTGTATTCTGTCACAGGATATCAGTCCCTAACTACTTATTGTGTCCAACCTAATCTCTGGTTAAAGAGTTACAAAAACCATGTGCACCATAGTACAAAGATTGACGTTCTAAGCAATTAGGTAGAACTTTGTACTATTGTCCGGAAACATTTAAAAACTTATTCCAATGCCTAGTATAACATTTACTTTATTAAACCTCCGATTGCACGTAAGAGACCTAGGAAAGGTTAGGTTAATTTGTCTTTGCAACTACAGTGGAAAAGTTAATTTATCGAAATTCAATAGTATTGATCCCTACTTTTCTAATTAGGTTGTACATCTGCACGTACTATTGTCATCCTTCGTCCCAATACAGGGGGACGGGTTTAATTGTCAGAGGTCCCATTTCCTGAAAACAACAATGTAGTGTGCGAGTGAACAATTAATTTAGGACAGTTTAGCATCAATGCTAAACTGAATTATCCAACACTGACAAAGAGAACCAATCACCAGAGTCGGACATGATAATTTTGCTTACACACACAAGACCAAGTGTTATAAATATTTACCCAAGACCTCCGAAGCGATTGCTTCACATGCATGACCTATTTTATGTAACTACAGTATTGAGCCAAAGTATTTGGGCCAATCATGAAGATTGGTCCAAATACCAATTTGGTAAATATACCAAAAATTGAAGTCATTAAAGCCTTCATGAAAGGCTTTAGTGACTTCATAAATGCATTTAACCGTAAAGCCAGGGTAAGCATCCCAACCAGTATTAATATTGCAAGAAATTTATGACATTTATTTCCTGCAACCACTAGTATTTAGTCTGCCAGCCCCCCCCCCCCCTTCCCCCTCGTGTCCACGGAACATTTATAAAAGGTGGCATCTCCCCTCGCCCAGCACCGCCTCAAACACTCTTTATGACGAATTTACAATTCCCATCCCTCTTTTTGCAACTAATAAATCAAGCTGGGGCGAGGCTTTATTACAGACAAGTACAAACGCTCACAAAAATGTATCTTGACCTGTCTAGGGAGCCGGTCGGCCGAGCAGACAGCACGCTGGACTTGTGATCCTGTGGTCCTGGGTGCGATCCCAGGCGCCGGCGAGAAACAATGGGCAGAGTTTTGTTCACCCTATGCCCCTGTTACCCAGCAGTAAAATGGGTACCTGGGTTTTAGTCAGCTGTCACGGGCTGCTTCCTGGGGTTGGAGGCCTGGTCGAGGACCGGGCCGCGGGGACACTAAAAAACTCCGAAATCATCTCAAGATGACCTTCCCAAGTGCTATATAGTCTTAATGGATTTGCGCTTTCCCCAGATAATCCCCCCCCCCCCCTCAAAAAAAAAAAAAAAAATTGTTTGCTAGCACTAATCTGAACAACCAACCACTGAACAACCCATCTTTTGTATTCTACCAACGTAAAGTACAAACACAGGAAATGGTTAAAGGAATAATACTTCACACAGTCATTAACAGATCTTATCTCAAGCAGCCAAAATTGCCACACTATTTTATCCACATCCGGTGCCGTGTTAAGCAGGAGTAACCGTTTTATGAAATGTCAAAAGTCTTGGCAAAATATTTATTTTCTGCCAAGATAAAATGGTTAAGAATATTTATGAATACTATTTTAAAGAACTTTTGCAAGATCTTCGCTAATATTACATGGTCTTCAAAATTAAAGGGAACTATTCTAAGGTACGTCTGCAAATTAGCGAATTTACTGCAGCTTGCTGAACTACCATTCCGAAAAAGTCTTCCATAAATGCGATCTAAACCGGGGCTCATTTAGAACTAAGCAGCTAAACACTAATTAAATCATTTAACCACACCTACCGATTTATTAGGAGCAATCAGACTATACAGTAATTATAGCCCTAGTCCCGGGCGTTACCAAGACAATCCCACTGATAAACCAAGAATCTGTCATACTCTATATGCGGTGCTCTGATGAAGATGGGCAGGTTGTCCCTCTGGTTCAGGTCGGGGTTGTGAAGCTTCGTCCACACCAACTCCAACATCCAGGTCGTCCCAGACCTGGGCATTCCCATCACAAGTACGTCACCTTCAGTGAACTGAAGAGAACAACATTATTGTAGTATACATTATAGAGAACATACAAGTGTATACATTTGACACCCACATATATATCAGGGGAGAGTGATCTGGGCACCGTTCACCCACCACCCTCCCGACCAAGTACATTACCCATATTCAAGTGTCATCAAAGTAACAATAAAGACATTACACCTTGTAGTTGCAGATGGCGTCAGCATATTTGGTGAAGAGCGTCGGGTAGAGCCAGCCTCCGGGCCCGAGGCGGACCATACCTTTGTTGTAGAGCGTCTGTTCATGCTCCATCCTGGCCAGCCACTCCTCGCTCATGTCCTCCACCTCGTGACCACTAGCCAGCTTCGTATTCATCTTCCTGGGTACAACTACACGGGTCGTTATGGCAGTCAAGTCATGAAAATACCTGGTCTATGTCAGGCATTACAGTGATAGGTAAAGTGTCAGTACTTTAATAAACATGTTTACAATTTGATGGCGAGGATGATTATTTGTGGATGCGTGACATGGCCCCATGTCAGGGCTGTGTCGGCCGATGACCTGTTATGTGACGCCAGGGATGGCGGGTGGGGATATGAACAATATTAGTTGGTAAAGGTATTAGGTGAAGAATGTTATGAAAGATGGGTAGACTATGTGGGTCGGGGAGGGTGGGGGAGATGTCGAAGCTTAACCAGTTCCTGCACTTCTATTCAAATTACATAAATCAACAATACAACTATACTCAAAAACTACAATTAAAGTAGTTATTTCAAAAAGAAAAATTAATGTTCTTAATAAAATAGGGAATGGAGCGTAACTAGCGCCACCAGTCATCGCTCATTGGGTGGGGATGTTTGGGCAGATAGAAATCTAACATTCACCAGACCTACCACACCACATACTGAACTATGCAACACCTGCCTCTGCAAGAATCAGAAGCACAGTATAATCTGTAATGCCGTGCAAGTTAATACTGGAATCCGAAAAACTTAATTTAGATCCGATAGATATACACAAATACCACACTTGTCATTAGGTGTAGTGCCAAATGAAAGACTGATTAAAAAGATAGAGGCTCATGGTATTGGGGGTGCTATATTAAGCTGGATTAGGGCATGGCTATACCAAAGGAAACAGAGTTAGTATAAATGGAGTCAAGTCAGAGTGGGGAAAATGTTTTAAGTGGAGTGCCTCAAGGCTCTGTCCTGGGACTTCTGTTGTTTATAATATATATAAATGATTTAGATTCAGGTTTGAGTAGCAACATTTGCAAATTTGCCGATGATACGAAAATCGGTAGGGAAATTAATTCGGAGGAGGACTCACTATCACTACAAGTTGATCTAGATAGGGTTTTGAAATGGTCAAAGGATTGGCAGATGCAGTTTAATGCTGATAAATGTAGAGTTCTGAGGTTAGGTAATGATGATAGAGTTACAAGATACGAGCTAGATGGTGTTGAGATTGCGAAGTCGGATTGCGAAAGGGATCTGGGAGTTATGATTAGTAAGAATTTAAAACAAAAGGATCAATGCATAAATGTTCGTAATAAGGCAAATCGGACACTTGGATTTATTAATCGCAGCGTTAGTAACAAGACACCTGGTGTGGTTCTCAAGCTATATCTTGCTCTAGTTAGGCCCCATTTAGATTATGCAGTTCAGTTTTGGTCGCCATATTATAGAATGGATATAAATTCACTTGAACGTGTCCAGCGTAGGATGGCTAAGTTAATTCCCCAAATTAGAAATCTTTCATATGAAGAAAGATTAACAAAGCTTAAGTTGCATTCACTGGAAAGGCGAAGAGTTAGGGGTGACATGATAGAGGTTTACAAGTGGGTGAATGGACATAACAAAGGGGATATTAATAGGGTATTAAAAGTATCAACACAAGACAGAACACGAAACAATGGGTATAAATTGGATACGTTTAGATTTAGGAAAGACTTGGGTAAATACTGGTTCAGTAACAGGGTTGTTGATTTGTGGAACCGATTGCCGCGTAACATTGTGGAGGTGGGGTCCCTCGATTGTTTCAAGCATGGGTTGGACATGTATACGAGTGGGATTGGGTGGTTATAAATAGCAGCTGCCTCGTATGGGCCAATAGGCCTTCTGCAGTTGCCTTTGTTCTTATGTGTATATATAACTTTACTAAGTCTGCCAAAACCTGACGGGAAAAACTCCGCCTACTTACAACTACACAGTCGTTATATTACCTTCACAACACTAAGTCCACCTACAATGACATGCCGACCGACTAAGAACGAGCTGGTATATATTTTAAATACACACAAGTCGCATTGTCAAGAACTGGCCTATTGGTCAGCGATAAATCCAGACATCAATGTATATTTAAATAGTACAAACTCCCTGCCATTGGCGGGGCGCGTTACCAGCAATTACTTTGTCGTTTCAACGCTGCGTTATTGAAAGGTCAGCACAGAAGCCAACTTAACCCATAATAGAGATGGACCAAAATTACATTCTCCAGATTAAATGTGGCATCCACTGTACTGTTATGCCATTCCTGCAAGACACCAAACACCAACGAGTTGCTCTGTTACGAACCCGGATCCAGCATCCGAGCACGGAGTAGTAACGACTACGCCATCTGTGGGTCAGCTCCCGAAACCCCCGCCAAACGAACGACGACACCGGATGAGGACGGCGAATATCGGCCACAAGGGCCAGTTTCCAGTCCTGTGCAGCTCACAACACAGCCGCTCCTGACCCCCGGTGAGGTGGTGCTCCGACGACAGCGCCATCTATGGACTGGATACGTCAGGTGTTTGTGCCCGAGCCCGTAAGTGAGGTGTATTAGTGTCCCGGTTATTGATGACGTGTCTGCTTACAGAGCCGACCTGGGACCACTGTGATGGAAGTGGAGTCAGTCTACCCGAGGCAGCCAGTCTCCATACTTTGAACGTTGCTGCAGCTGTTGTGAAGTCGTCCCCCCGGAAGAACACTGTGGTGTGTTAGCCTGCCAGTGGAGTGGCAGTAAGAGGATTTACCCGGGACCGACTGTTGGAGACGATCATCCACTGGGGTACTGAAGACAGGAGAGTGACTTGTGGTGTCACACGAAGCTCCTGTCTAGGGCGTTCCCCTTTTATCGTCCGTGGAGTGGCCGTACCAGCCTTGTGGGCTCAGAACCTGCCAGCAGACCAGCTGGACGTGTGGTTGACGGCCTCCACGACGGTGCCCCCCAGTGGACCTGTGTTTTGGCTGACCTGAGGCCAGGGTAGGCTCAACTTCTTTGGAGAATTAATCTTGAGGCCACGAAGAAAGCACCAAGGACTCGGCACCGAGAGTTATGGCACCAGCGTCTTCAGCAGAAGACATCGATTGAGGATTAATCCCCTTGTCAAGTGTTAATACCCCTCCCCTTTGTGCACTCATTTATTTTATATATTTAAACGGTGATGGTAATAATTATAATATTAAGTTCTTAGCTTTCTTTCCCTACTCCCTTTAAGTTACTTGCGTCACGGATCTCATCCCTTGATAGCCACTACTGGCTTGGGAACGGATACATTATATCTTCCTCTACCAACATCAGAGTAAGGACCCCGTTGCGTCCCGAGAGGGTCGTAACATGCTCAATAAAGAAAGATCACTTGGCAAGGAAGGCAGTATTTACAGCGTGCATAGACCGCGAGGAGCAGTACGAGCTGTTCGGCTCCTACATTCCCTCCAACATTATATTTCCTCCATACAGCGTCGGCAAATAATTACAACCATTTTAATATTTATCTACTTACACTGCACAATTACACCAATCACAGTGTCTTTTCACAAATAGAATGTAAATACACTCTGCTCACTCCAAGAGAACTACTGCATTTGGCAACTACTATATCTACACAAAGTTATTAAAGCAGTTGGTTATACAGTCCCCAAATTATTTTCACAGCTTAACTATAGTCTTCCCTGAAGAATATTCATTTAAATACGTCAACACACTACAGCTCACGTTGTGACACTGAAGGTGGGAGGAGGAGCAGCAACACAACTACTCACAACAACACAATCAACACATATGACCGGCCATTGGCTGAGGCTCCACCAAAGTCAACACCCCAGTGTTACCAACTCGGCTAATTAAGTACTTGCATCCATCTAGTGATACCAATTCAGTGTAAAAATTAATGCTTAGGCTATCATTTTAAAGATAATAAAAAAACAATTGTAAGTGGACATAGAGAAAAATGAGGCACAAAAATTTATGTTAAAGAAGAACAGTAGAATGCTTCGTTAAAATAATTATGAACATTAATTCCGGTTATTTCCAAAAATCTCGCCCGTTCTCACGCTTGAACAAACGTTTAAATTAAAGGAGTTTATTCCACAATAAGTGTAAAAACCTTAACTGTAGAGGACAATGACCTGTAATTGGAGGAGGCATTTTGGTGGCTGGTATCCATAGTGTGGAGGTCACTGGTCATTACGGGTGAGAGCGAGGGAACTGTACAGCGATCTCACAAAAACCGGACCTAACAATTAATGAATCTTTACATGTGCACTATGGAAGGAAGCGTAAACATTAACATGTTTTATAGAGAATACAAGCGTGTAAATGTGTAGGTTTTCTCCTCTTAAACAGCATCAGCATCAATAGCTAAGATGACAAAGTGAAGGTTTTCTAAGTTAGACAAACGAGCATCGACCAGTTTTTGTCTATCGTCAGCAGAGTACGATAGCAGTGATATCCTGGATCCGGATTCACAAAGCAGTTACGCAAGTACTTACGAACGTGTACATCTTTCCTCAATCTTTGACGGCTTTGGTTACATTTATTAAACAGTTTACATGCATGAAAATTTCCCAATCAACTGTTGTTATTGTTATAAACAGTATCCTGGTGCTTCGGAGCTCATTAACTGTTTAATAATTGCAAACAAAGCCGTCAAAGATTGACAAAAGATGGACAGGTTCGTAAATGCTTGCGCAACTGCTTCGTGAATCTGGCCCCCAGACTGATAGACAACACCCACTAAAATCAACATGGTTACTTAATTATAGTAGGCACCTTACCCTTGGATGTAGTACAGTCATTGGTCGGCATCTTACCCTAGGACGTGGTACAGTCATTGGTCGGCACCTTACCCAGGGATGTGGTACAGTCATTGGTCGGCACCTTACCCTAGGATGTGGTACAGTCATTGGTCGGCACCTTACCCAGGGATGTGGTACAGTCATTGGTCGGCACCTTACCCAGGGATGTGGTACAGTCATTAGTCGGCACCTTATCCAGGGATGTGGTGCAGTCATTGGTTGGCACCTTACCCAAGGATGTGGTACAGTCATTGGTCGGCACCTTACCCAGGGATGTGGTACCGTCATTGGTCGGCACCTTACCCTAGGATGTGGTACAGTCATTAGTCGGCACCTTATCCAGGGATGTGGTGCAGTCATTGGTCGGCACCTTACCAAAGGATGTGGTACAGTCATTGGTCGGCACCTTACCCAGGGATGTGGTACAGTCATTGGTCGGCACCTTACCCAGGGATGTGGTACAGTCATTGGTCGGCACCTTACCCAGGGATGTGGTACAGTCATTGGTCGGCACCTTACCCAGGAATGTGGTGCAGTCATTGGTCAGCACCTTACCCTGGGATGTGGTACAGTCATTGGTCGGCACCTTACCCAGGGATGTGGTACAGTCATTGGTCGGCACCTTACCCTAGGATGTGGTACAGTTATTGGTCGGCACCTTACCCTAGGATGTGGTACAGTCATTGGTCGGCACCTGTTACGGCCCTCTCGGGTCGCAACGGGATTCTTCTCTGACATTATTAGAGTTTGGGTATCCGGCCCCAAGTTAGTAGTGGCTTTCAAGGGGTGTATTCCGTGACGCAAGTAAATTAAAAGGGGAAGGGATACAAATTCACTGGTTTATGTATATATAATTACCACCACCATAAATAAATATCTCACAGTCACTCGCTGGGGCTATAACTACACTTATGTACAATAACTTGTCTTCCTCCGAAGACTCAGGATGTTTCACGGTGCTCAAGATGAGTAGCCCTGGTTCTCTTCTCGTGGCCTCACGATGAATCCTTTGATTCTCTAGGCGAATCTACCCCGGCCACAGGCCAGCCAAATCACAGTCCGACTGGGTGCACCGTCGTGGAGGCCTTCAACCACAAATCCAGCCTGTAGCTGGCAGGTTCCAATCAGCTCCGCTGCGTAGGCCACTCCACGACCAATACTAGGGTTGCGAGCCCTAGGCAGGAGCCTCGTGTGATTCCGCTGATCACTCTTCTCTCTATAGCACCACAGTGGCTAGTCTCTTCCACCAGTCAACCCCCGGGTACGATGATTCCTCAACTCTGCCACGTCACAGGCAGGCTAACACTCTCAGCAGTGTTCGTCCGGGAGCAACTCACAACTTCTGCAGCAAACACGTGGAGAGACTTTGGCTGCCTTGGGTAGACTGATCCATCGTCCAATACAGCAGTCCCAGGTCGACTCTGTAATCAGACACGTCATCAGTACTAGGGACACCCTAGGGCACCTCACTTACAGGCTTAGACACAAACGCCCACCTATCCACTCCATAGATGGCGTTGCTGTCTAAGTGTCACCTCACCAGAGGTCAGCAGCGGCTATGTTACGAGCTGAATAAGACGGGAAACCAGCCCCTGTGGCCGGTATATCTCGTCCTCACTAGATGGCGTCGTCCATTTGGAGGGGGTTTCGGGAGCTGACCCACAGATGGCGTCGTCGTCACTGCTCCGTGCTCGGACGCTGGACTCGGGTCCGTAACAGCACCTTACCCAGGGATGTGGTACAGTCATTGGTCGGCACCTTACCCTAGGATGTGGTACAGTCATTGGTCGGCACCTTACCCTGGGATGTAGTACAGTCATTAGTCGGCACCTTACCCTGGGATGTGGTACAGTCATTGGTCGGCACCTTACCTGGTTGATACCTAGTTGATGGGGTTCTGGGAGTTCTTCTACTCCCCAAGCCAGGCTCGACTTGTGAGAGTCTGGTCCACCAGGCTGTTGCTTGGAGCGGCCCGCAAGGCCACATACCCACCACAGCCCGGCTGATCCGGAATTTCTCTTAGAAAACCATCCGGTTTTCTCTTGAAGATGTCCACGGTTGTTCCGGCAATATTTATTATAGTCGCTGGGAGGACGTTGAACAACCGCGGACCTCTGATGTTTATTCAGTGTTCTCTGATTGTGCCTATGGCACCTCTGCTCTTCACTGGTTCAATCTTGCATTTTCTTCCATATCGTTCACCTCAGTACGTTGTTATTTTACTGTGTAGATTTGGGATCTGACCCTCCAGTATTTTCCATATGTATATTATTTGGTATCTCTCTCGTCTCCTTTCTAGAGAGTACATTTGGAGAGCTTTGAGACGATCCCAATAATTTAGGTGTTTTATCTCGTCTATGCGTGCCGTATATGTTCTCTGTATTCCCTCTATTTCAGCAATCTCTCTTGCTCTGAAGGGGGAAGTAAGTACAGAGCAGTACTCGAGACGGGACAACACAAGTGACTTGAAGAGTACAACCATTGTGATGGGATCCCTGGATTTGAAAGTTCTCGTAATCCATCCGATCATTTTTCTGGCTGACGCGATATTTGCTTGGTTATGCTCCCTAAACGTTAGATCGTCGGACATTATTATTAACAAATCCTTGACATGCTGTTTTTCTACTATGGGAAGATTCGATTGTGTTTTGTACCCTGTATTATGTTTCAGATCCTCATTTTTGCCGTACCTGAGTACCTGAAATTTATCACTGTTAAACATCATGTTATTTTCTGCTGCCCAGTCGAAAACTTTGTTGACATCTGCTTGTAGTTTTTCAATGTCTTCAGCAGAGGTAATTTTCATGCTGATTTTTGTGTCATCTACCCTGGGATGTGCATGAAAATTTCTTTAAAAACTTATGATGACAAAAAAAATCAGCTGTGTTATGCCAAAAATTACATAGAACGAGAACTTCAAGAAATTGTTCTAATTTATGAGTTGCTGTCATTATTAATTTTTTTCTTGATTCAGTTGTAAGAGATAAATACATTAGAAAAGAAATTTCATGAAATCTGAAAGCTGAGCGGAATCATGCTCTTTGTCAATGTTTGGTGAATCTTTGGAAAACTTGAGTGTAGAAGGTAAAGTGTCAAAGAAGCATCTCCTAAATTAATATTCTCTAGGATGCCTTAAATTCTCCACACGAGTCTAATCAAACTTTGCGGCCTGGTTGACTGTATTACAGTATATGTAAAACTAAACTCTTATTCTTTCTTTTTTATATAAAATAATAATAATAATATATACTTACTAAAAAAAGAAAATATTGAGTATAGTTTCATATATAATGGTTGATATTTTTATTATCCATTGTGTGTGTGTGCACACTCACATAGTTGTACTCACCTAGTTGCGCTTGGGGGGATTGAGCTTCGGCTCTTTAGTCCCACCTCTCAACAGTCAATGAACTGGTGTGCAGATTCCTAAGCCTAATGGGCTATATCATATCTACATTGGGAACCGAGACATGATCACTTCTTTATAAAATTCTCTGGAAATAAAAGACTGGAAAGAACTAAAAATGTTCCTTGTTGTTACAAATTCCACCAGTCTAATAAACCATTACACCTCCAAATTCCAACATCAAAGCAAATCGATTGATTCTTATTTTATTGCTTGGAAATCTTTATATCTTTCATCTTGACATCAATTTGTGGAAATTCCCTTAAACAATTGATTCTATCATTCATGAAACTCCTGTAACAAATTCCACATAATGGAAAAGAAGGGGGGGATAATATGGTGCTTTTACCATATCAGTTACTTGGAAGGAAACTAAAAGATATTTTCACCATATCAGTTATTTAAGGCGTCATGTTGTTCTGTATGGAACTAGAAGACACTAGTCCTTCGGTACAACTTCTCAAATAAACCACATGGGTCTAATTTAACTTTGCGGTTTCTATATAAAAAATACAAAAAACATATATGTTCGGGAATAAAATATTCACATATTTTATACTTATTGTATTAGTTATTTTATGTCTGTTCATT